CAGGCAGTGTCTTCCATATAAAAGAAAATTTTTTAGAAAAATGTCGCACACCTTCAACCAACTACTACTATTTAATGGGCTTTAATTTATATGGTGTTTGTTATATAACCAGCTAGATTTTTAAACAAAAAATTATAAACATTAAATAAACAAAATATAAATAGTCAAAACTGGCCAAAAATTCACTCCTATATTTTGTGGACAACGGTAGGTCCACAAATTGACATTGGTACATTGTCTCCAGTCAGCCAGGTCTTATGAGAGATTCAAACACACATAGACAACGTGAAAAAAGGTTTTTTATAAACGGTAATACACGGTGCATAACCCATAATAATTTTTTTGGAAATTATTTTTGACATTTCGACTAAATCGAAATATCAACCAATTAAAATGCATATAATATATAATTTAGTGCTTTCTTTAAAATCGGCTTTGAGCTCAACAAAAATTAATAAAATATACGATTGATTCTAAGCTTGAAATGTTAAACCAGATTCAGAGTGGCTATTTAAATGTGAGAAATGCAACCCTGTGTTTCTACCAAACAAGAATCAGCTGTTCAGCACAAAATGTAAACAAACATTCAAATGCAACAACAATTTCAAGGAACAAGCAACAGTGTTGCCATTTCTTTGGCATATTGAATAAAGGTAATCTGATACCCCAGGTAAATGAAATGGCATTTAAATAACAGTCCAAAATTAAACTTAAGTGCCATTTAAATGTTCACCTGCAATTGGCTATTAATTTGCGAGCAAAGAAGCTTGCCAACTATTTTATTTTTGTATCCCCCCAATAGCTCTTTTTCCTAGCGCTTCCTAGTAAGTTCGCTATTTCTTCGCTCCGAAGCCCTTCTCTGATGGTGTGTGATAATATTGCAAAGAATGGCTCGTGTCCTTTTGACCTGAATGTCTGCTATCCAGTTTTCTTCTTTACCTTTATGGCCCGGAACACATACAGTATTGGACATATCTATAGCACCCCCCTTTCAAAGCGATATTGTTTGCCACTTATGTTTAATTATTTGTTTTTAAGAATTTTCAATTAAAATATAGTTCATTCTCTAAAAAAACCCATATAAACCAATGTTTTAAACTAGAATCTTTTTGAGTACACAGTTTTATAGCGCATTCAATTTTGTCCAATAATGTGGAAGTTTCAAGTCGCTAAAGATTACCGTTGATTTTTTAGAATTTTTTTTTGTCTCATTTGCTTCCATATAACGACTAAACAATTTATTTTTATATGGCAGAAACCCGGCGTAAAAAATTCTAAAAAATCAACGGTAGTTTTTAGCCACTTGAAACTTGCACATTATTAGACTAAAATTCAATGGGCTATAAAACTGTGTATTCAAAAAAATTCTACCGCTTCTGAGAAAAAAGTTTGAAATTTGGGTGAAAATTTGTTGCACTTTTTTGCGGTCTTTTAAAAAGTTTTAAACTTGAGTTTATGTGAGTTTTGTGAGAGAATGAACTGTATTTTAATTGAAAATTCTTAAAAATAAATAAATAAACATGAGTGGCAAACAATATCACTTTGAAATGGGGGTGCTATTGTATTGGCCAATACTGTATAAGGAAGACCCTATTGTGTGCACCGAGGCATTTAGTCTCTATACAAGCTCGAAATCCGGTACATACAAATTGATTATAGTTGAAAAAGAAACACTTTCTTTAATGTGTTAATCGCCAAAGGCAACTAAACTGATTAGTCGGTATCGCGCCAATTCCCGTATTTTTTATTTTTTTTTTTAAACGTATCGTTCGTAAAGAAGGGGGGTTAGTAAATAATGTAAAATTTGGTATTTATGGCTTTTACTTTTCCCTCTCTAAGTCCAACCGGACTTTTTTTTTGTCAAATGTCACCATGACTTTTTTACCTGCCTCCATATAGTCGAAACAATTGCAATTATTTTTTAGTTTCTTTTCTTTAATTAGTCATTGCTGTGTTAAACCAAATACAATACAATGGCATGAGGAATAGAATTTCCATTGCACAAGTATTTAAAACTTGTTTCTGGTGTTTTGATTTGAATTGCACGCGAATAAGTTGGCAATCCAAGAGAATTTCCAATCAGTTTGATTTGATTAATTTCTTGGAAATGCTTAATACTTAGGTCGTATTCATGGTCGTATTTATTTTAAACTAAATCCAGGTTTTCTATCTCCAAAGCATTCGCATAAGTAATTTCTATGTATAGACTATACATTCACACACATATCGCACGCCTAGATCTAAGGTGCGAGTAACTAAAAAAAATAGGAAAATTTTTTTGCAGAAATCAATTCATAGATTCCAATTAATACAAATATACATATATAGTTTTCTTCATGATTGTGTACAGTGTACACTAACTAAAAACAGTTATATTTCCTGATCTGAATTTCGACTTAGCTCACTTTAGATCTAAGTGTGCGATATGTACATATGTATGCGTGGCGGGCAAACAAAAATTCGACGAATTTCAACAAATATTCATCAAAATTTTAAACTTTTTATTCAGAACTAAAAAAAAATAGGTATGCGGTTTGTAGCCTATTAAACTTTAGCATAATAAACTGCAAGTTTCAGGTAGCTAGGACTTACAGTTGATTTTTTTTTTGTTGGCTGTGTTGTGCATTTTTCTTCCTATAAAAAACAATTGTCCAACATACTTTATATGGAAGAAAATGCGAGATACCGTCAGCAAAAAAATGGTTAAAAATCACAAATACATACATACATACGTACCGTACCTCTAAGCACTCAGCCACCGCGGCCGTCAAATGAATGGTCGCCGCGAATAACGTTATAGGCGACATATTTATAAGTTTTCAGGAATTGAAAAAAAAAACGTTTTTGATGACGCACATAAAGTCATTTGATTTAGTTTTTATTTTTTGGTGCAGTAGTCTCCAAGAAACTTGCCCGTGAATTAAATATATATCCATATATATCTTTCAAGTCAAACAAAAAAAAAAAAAACGATTTACAAAATTTTAATAATGGAAAAACGTTCTATATCCAAATCCCAACGTTTTTTCAGTAAGCCTAGCATCTTTGCAGGTGGCGCTTACAACCTTTTTCGACAAATGAATGTAATAAATATGACAATAAGGTTTCTTTGATTGTTCATATAATAAAAACTGGAGAAATGCTTTTGAATAGTCTCCAACATGATAAAAACATAGCAAGGTATAACCGTTCTCTCAATTTGTCGGCCATGATTTTTTTTTGAAGTTTGAGAAAATTTTAAAATCATATAAAAGTGAAAATCAAAAATTGAAATTGTTCGAAATTGTTGTTGCTTGAGATTGAAAATGAAAATGTGTGTGTGAGTTTGTAAATTTAAAAATTAAATTGTTTGGAAACGTCAAGAATTTTAAAAGTGACTCTCAGCGGTTCTACCTTACTATATTTTTATCATGGTCTCCAATATGAAGCTTGAGCAGTGAAGAGAACAAAATTGATATTAACACAGCTGCTTCACTTACAACGTTTTTTCACATTACCGTTTATGATAATTTTTTTTTAATACCTCTTTCCCATTTCTTCCTGAATATTCTTCCCCAGCTATACTTTCATAAAAAAAAATAACGATCATTAATTAAACAAATGAAAAACAGCCAAAATTTGTTAAAATGTCACGTCCATATTTGTTTGTCCGCCACTGTATGTAAATTTGCATTGGCAGGGATTTAAGTAAGCAGTGCCTATGACAGATACATATGTATATTGATTCATATTAACTACGTACATATGTATGTAACTTCATCGATATTTTTTAGAGTTGTATTTAACGTCTGACGTAAATTTCTCTACGCGAAAGCATTTTATTATAAATATTTTTCCAAGCACATGCTTAGATCATACCCCTATTTGTTGCTTCCGAATTATGTACGAGTATTTATTGCCTAGTTTTGTTATGCCTGCGGGTTGTGTTTTGTACTGTGCTCGCCCATTGCACGAATTGCGCGTGAAAATGTGCTTTTTCTCACGTGCTTGCAACGTGTTGTTGTTGTTGTTGTTTGCAATGAAACATTAGTAACCAAATTCAATGTTATTATTATTTCATATAAATTTTTTGCTTTTTTGTTTCCGAACTGAAACGAGTAACCAATAAATAACATTCTGGGTTAATGCGACATTATACAATAAATGTTAAATATTTGTTTCCGACTTTTTATAATTTGTTATGTGTTGTTCTCTAATCGCAATTAAAATATGCGCACAATGCACATTCATCGTTATAATTAATTATTTAATCATCAGTACATATAACTTCTTCCCCTGTAACGGTTTGCGGTTTAAATTTTTTGCATTCGAATGGATCACCTATTCAAAGAGACAAAGCTCAGCAAAGGTTACCTATAATCGTGATTAGCTTTTTTAATAAAATATTTTTTTTTTTTTTATTAAATACGCATTGAGTTTAAAGTACAAAGACTTTTGCGCATCGAATGCAAGCATGTAAGTGTCTTCGACAAATGCATTTAGACACGTATACCATTTAAAAGTTCATGCTTCTTATCAACATGAAAAATATGAATAACCCCTCATATCAATTTTGAATAATGATTGCTTTATTTATAAACAACACTGCCATGCCGCAGCAGTGAAAACAAATCCTACTATTTAATATCATAAATTTCAAAGTTAGCGCGTATGTTTGTTATTTTTTCACGCTGAAAGGTCAGGACGGATTTTGGCAAAAATTTGGCACATGGATAGGTTTTGACCTAGATGAAAATATATACTATTTTTAAAGAGGATTACCACATGCTTAAAAAGTTAAATTCAATAAAGTAAATAAGTCAGTATGGCGGTCGAACGAAATAACCCTCTTTATTTCGAAACTATTTTTGTATATGGTGCATGTCAATTTAATTATTAATCTTAATGCGATAAATATTACAATTGTAATACTTAAACGGCTTACATATACAAATTTTCTACAAAAATTGCAACATCGGTAAATATCGCAACTTTTTTAAAACTGAATTCTGGCGCTATCAAGATAATCAGAGCATCATGATGGTAAGCAGATACGAAGACAATTTGATAACACTGTGGAACAGGAATTAAAAAATAACCCTCTAATCCCTTCTATTACGGGTGTTTTTGTGCTCTACTGCAGGAGGTTATTAAAAATGGTAATTAGCGGGTTAACGTGTTGTAAAGAAGCCTTAAGGGGAGGATTTCACCAATGGTCATCGAAAAAAGTTATATTCCATATCGCCGTTTAAAGTAGAAGATAATGCATAACCTCGTATGTGAGGTTGCTCCAATTTTGCAAATTTCAAATAAGCTGTAACTGTCGGTAAAATTCCTCGCGGAATATTTTTGTATAACATTTAAACCTAACAGATAACAACTCTGTTCCACTCTTTTTGTTATTGAAATAAAATTTTTGAACAGAAAATGGAATTTTTGGTGAAAATTTTAAAATAAAATCAAATTTGAAATCAAATACATAAATTTGAAAGATTTGCAAGAAATTTGATTTAAACTGAACATCAACAAGTAATTTTTAAGCAAAAAACAAAACCGACTTCAATTCTCATATAAAAATTAAAGATCATCGTTAATTTCTTCATGATCCAATGATCGGATTAAAATCGAATTGGTATGTTAGTATGGAACCACCTGTGAGGTAACTTTAAAAAATTAGATCGGTTAACGTCGTCCAAAGTTATGCGGTAACATACATAAAAAAAGAAAAAAATTCCGACGAATAGATAACCTCCGTTTTGTGAAATCGGTTAAAAACAAGTGAGCAAGTGTATATTTTTTAAAATAAATATTCACAATGTTTTTCAAGTTCATTTCTTGTATTTTTTTTTTTGTTATTTTGCTGTTAAAATATTGTCCAAGCTGTAACCAAAGTCATGCAAATCAAACTTACAACATTTAGGAAAATTAAAACAAATTTTCATCAAAATTTCACACTTCTCATTGTGAATTTTTAGAAAATGTGAAGTGCAACTTTCAACCGGCTGAAAAATCGCGTTGATTTTTTAATAGATATCTGTGTATTTTTTGTGTTTTTTTTTATATAAAAAGTGCAGTTTATAAATACCCCCGTTGATTTCTTGAAATTTTGTAGCGAACAGTCTTCTGCATTTTATTTCATAAGAAATTCCTGCTTGTATGGAAAAGTGCAAAAATCACCAGTCAAGGGCAGAATGAAACTTTCTAAACAAAAATATGTTTTAAGGAAAGAAAATACTGCTTGGCGCCAAGCTATGTGTTTTTGTTTTTTTGTATGGTTTATTACTTTTTTAAACCCGTCTAACGAAAAAAAAGTAGAGCAGCAAAGATCTTTTACAGAAATAAATAAATTGACTGACAGTTTCTAATTGTTGCTCAATAAATTTTTCTAGACCATTTCTTGACCTTTTTCTTATTCGTCGAACTAAAGAAAAGATTACAACTAGTAAAATAAAAACAGATTTTGTTTTTATTAACCCGCAACTTCGATTGCATTTCTGCTTGGATACAAAAATTTAAAACCAATGGTTCGTCTACGGGAAGGCATTGGTGTTATTGAAGAGATTAAAAATAATTAATTAATTAATATTAAAAAAAATAATAATAAAACGACCAGGGCAGATCTCTATTATTTGAGAATATAAATAACACTTGTGTGTCCATTGTAATTTTTCAATCCTTGAAATAAACACAAAACATTAAACTGTACTCTACTGTAGCCTCTCATAAAATCCATTTGTCGTTCGGAGGCGGCGTTAAACTGTAGGTCGCTTAATTTTTGTAACAATATCAAAACGCACTCCAGAAATTAGTGGAGAAACTCGATCAAACACTTGGCAAAAGTGTAAAATTATTATTATTATTATTATTATTTCATTCCCAGATCTTTTCTCAAAAGTTATTCTTATATATCTCTTACAGGCTTCCGCTTGGAGTTTCGGTAGCCTAAGTGGTCGTCTAAATTGGAGCTTTTCTGGTGGTGCTAATAGAAGTTCATTCCACAATCGCAATAAGTCAACCAGAAAAAGGTAAGCGAACTGAAATCATCAGTGTCTACTTGTTTTTCAATACAATGCAAAAGAAATTATTATTTTTTTTTTAATATTCATGTAAACTCGTTTATTGTTGTTAATGTAGTTTAATGTTTATTATTTGCAGTTTAACTTCAGCTCAGCAGCGGCGATCCAAAACTCAATGGCACACGCCGCTCACCAATGCCATATTCAGTTCACACTTTAAGGAGGCCAGTCGCAACGAACAATTCCACATTGTACATCTCGTGGCTAAGGGTGCGTTCGGTGTTGTCTTCAAAGTAATTAATAAACACTACGCACAAGAATTGCAAAACCAGCAGTCACCAGCAGCAGCGGTGCAAAAGCAGGCAGGCGGCAGATCACCAACGCCCCTACATCCTGCACCCTTTTATGCGCTTAAAGTGTTGAAAAAGTCTAGAGTAAGTAAAAATGCAACTTAATAAAATATTTCATAATACCTACTCAAATGAATTTCACAATGGACTTGTAGTATTATTAATGTCTCCGATGACTAATTTGTACTGCCTATACAGACACATTTGCGTTGTACTTAGTGCTTTATGATTAATTCATGTGTTTACTACGTTACAGATAATTGAGGAAAATGGCGTGCAGCAATTAAAAGACGAAGCGGATATCCAGAAGTTGTGTGGCCATCACCCTTTTATTGTGCAACAAGTGGATGCGTGGCAAAATCGCCGTAATTTGCATATACGTAAGAAAATTTTAAAATTCGAAGTTTGGAATTATTATTTTTGGTCTCTTCAATCTTCAAACACCGAGTTTTTCATAATAGGGGTATTCATCTAAACACGTAAATGCCTCGTAATCGCGTAAACCTCATAAATAAGCCGGTTTTCCATACAAAATTAAGTAAGTTTGCGCGGTTACGAGGCATTTACGCGTTTATATGCATTGCCCGAATGTTCTCTCAAAATATTTTTCGTCGAGATAAGGCGAGTTGACTTACAAACTGTACTGCGGTGGGATGAACGGTATCGAAAACTTTCAGCAAGTCGAACGCTACCGGGGCGGTTCTCTCACAGGGACGATTACAAGTTAAATGATGTGGTGGTGCTGTGCACTCCATGCAAGTCATGCTGATGCTTCGCTGGTGTTAAGCAGCAGATAAGTCCTCTAGGCCTCAAGTTTCTTCACTACTGATAATAGTAGTTAGTAATCCATGATACGAATGACCTTCTGTAGACGGGTATCAAGTTCAGCCGGGAAATCAGGTCGAATTTCGGCGAACCCACCGGTGGACGAGAAGCGTTACACTGCAGCAGTGACCACCTTGAAAAACTGGCTTTCTTTAAAATACGTTCTGTTGGTGTGGAGAGAGCGACAAAAGGGTTATCGTTTCACTTCTGTCGAGCGCGGTATGCACGCGCTACTGTTTTTTACCCTCTGCTATTGACGTGACCGAAATTTCCCTTACTATTGAAGCTCAGGAAAAATGTCAAACCTTCGGTGTCGTGTCAGACTACCAACTAAATTAAGTTAAGGAGGTACATACGTTTGGTGGATGTAAACGATAGCATAGGTCGATATTTATAAGAATATGCGCTAGCTATGTGTGTTGCTGCCTGGTGGTACTGGTTGACAGGGTCCGAAGTGATAAGTGCAGCTGCAGAACTCTGCAGCATACCCTCTTGCCCTGTGACCCAGTCACGGATAGGGCACAGTCCAGAAAATGGCACCTCCTCAGGTTGGCGTTTCATGTTGCCTTGTTTCGATATATTTGGGCAATTCACAAGGTGTTGTGAAGTTATATTTTCCTAACAAAAGTTGTGTTAAAACACGACGGTTGTGAACACCTGTTACGATTATTTATTATATCTCAGCACTTAACCTCACATAACACCGAATAAACATAGGTTGCAGAGTTGTATCGTCATGTGTTATTTTTCTTCACAAAACAATAACAACATTTTTACAACTGTCATGNGTTCTGACACGCGGGGCAAATGGCATCAGGTACCAATATTGGTATTCACTCAGCAAACAACGCTTAAGTAGGTGGAGAAAGACAAGGGGAGTTTTGTTGTTCAGATGAGCGGAATACCCACCGTTGCGTTGGGGCGGGTTGTATGTTGCAAGAGTTACAAACAATCCTTGTGGAATCCGAATGGAGCTGTACTTTCTTAGGGAGCAGACTCAATGCCAGCTCCAATGCGGAACAACTCTGCTACGAGGTGTTACTCTAAGGACTAACAACGATTGGAAGGGTTAGGCGATATAAAAAAGATCAAGTTGGCGAAATATCATCCGTTGGTTGGTTGTTAATTTAAAATGTGTATTTTTTATTTTTTATCTTTTTTAAAGTTTTGTTGCATTTTTAATGCACCCTTGTTCTTGTTTTTAATGCATTAATTCCAAGCCCTAGTTAATGATTTAATTAATAGTTACATGTATTTTCCTATTATTTTGAAATTTGCACAAGCTTCATGTCTTATTTAGGCCTAATCTAATCAATTAACGTTTCT